CTATCAAAAAAGTGGTCAACAATTAAAATGTGTCAAATTTTATTTTACTCATTTTACTAATTAATAAAGTTTATCTAGTTATTGTAGTTTTAGAGATATGCGCCTTTAAATTTAGCCTACCCCCACTGGCTCCGGAGGGAGAGGCCGCCAACTTTAAAGGCGCATAACTCCAAAACTACGGTAGTTATCAAAAAGTAATCAACTACAAAAATGAAGCTTTAGGCTTGCTAATCACCTTAAAGTCTACTTCACATTTCTGATGCTCCTCTCCTAGTCGATATGAAAGGTACCCAACAATGCATCGAGACCTGGGTGGCGCCACTCTTGGAAAATCGTAAAATAGGTGTGTGTTAATTTTGTCCTCATGATCTGATTTGATGATTCCGCTAAATTACCCAATTAACAATTATCGTCCAAAAAAAAACGAATTACCTAAATCTACAGTACTCCAACTCACTCAAATTGTCCACCATCACAAAGATGTTCTTCTCTCCATGCCAAGTGTACACACTGACTTGGTCCTCAACTCTGTGATCTACTTTTCCATAGATCAAAAATATCGATTGAAGACTTTTCAAAGCTATCGGAAAAGGGCAAATATGGAAGCTCAGTGAAAAACTCTCCACCGATTTTGAGCTGGAAAACTATTTATGAAAATTGACGGTACATTCTTTGACCCACCTTCTAAAAACCCAATCCAAATCCAGATTATTCATATTTATGAAATGAGCAATTACAAAATAGGATCCTGGTTCTAATTCGATAGATTCGTCAAATGTGATTTCTTGACTGTAATCATTAGCCGAATACAGTAATTCGCCGGGCTCCTGGCTGTCCAGACAGCAGCGATGAAGGTTGAGGAAGATATTCATCTAGAAAAATGGATGTAGTTTGGTTTGAAATCGGGATTTTTCGAAAACTCAAAATGGAGATTATAGAGTTTAAAAAGGGCTATGAAATGGTATAAAATTTAATACACTTTGAATCCGGGGTCTTGCGCTCGGTTAAAGGATCACAGTAAGATGCGTTAATGAGCGCTTCCGCAAGAAGCACTGTTAAACGCGCTCTATAGATAATGTGGAAAATAGAAGATTAATTAATTTATATATGATTTTGTAGCACCGTTTGAGACCTTTAAGAAACAATTTTAATTTTTTAAAAATCTTCATTTTGAAGCTAGCTACAACGGTTTTACCTAGAGAGGCTATTTCATGCTGACGAAGGAGCACAATCATTAACGCTCCTCAATTAAAAGACCCCGGATTCGAAGTGTATTAAATTTTATACCATTTCATAGCCCTTTTTGAACTCTATAATCTCAAATCTATGTAGAAGGACATATCTTTGTAGTAAGAACTACATGACAGGTTGCTGGCAGATGCATAAAAAGTAGATCAGTTGGCAACTGGGGGAAAAGAAAAACAGGAAAAGTTCACGAGATTCAGAGTTTCCATAATTGGGGAAAATGGCTCTAAAAATGACTAAAGAAATTCTCAATTTTTCTACAAATTTCAGAAAATGTACAATGAATCTAGCTGTTCATTTTTGTAGTTAACAACATTGTTCTAGCTACGGTAGTGAGAGAGATATGCGCCTTGAAAGTGATGGCGCCCTTCTTCTCGGGCGCCGCCGGCCCGGTACCAACTTTAAAGGCGCATAGCTCCAAAACTACGGTAGCTGGAAAAAGTTGTCAACTACAAAAATAAAGCTCTGTTTCTGTTCTATATATTCTGACACTTTCAAAGAAGTCGGCAACTTGACAGCTGAGCTCTAGGCTTTTGAAAATGCTCTTGGCTTCTGAAATAAAATCGTTTGACCGGTACTGTAGCTATTCTAATTCTTCTCCGCTTTTCTGTTTATTCCACTGCAAATGATTTTTTCTCAGTTTTTCCTTTGAATCCTTGTCCTTCTGTGTGTTTTTTCTCTTTAAGTAGGTGTCCTTGATTTTCCTCTTCCTTCCCAAATCCTTCATCCAATTCTGCCCCCCCCCCCCTTTTTTTGGTGTGAAACAGAGAATAAAAAGTGTGTAATGGACAAAAAGCTGACGTCTTCTTCTTCTTCTTCTTTTTCTTCTTTTCCCCAAGGACAAAAATCTCTTCCTTTCCTCTATTTTCTCTATCCACCGAAAATCCTCGAAAACTTCTTTTTTACACTTCCTAAGCAAAAAGTCTCTAGAAGCTTGACTTCCCTGGAAACCCTTTTCAAAATTTTCTTTGAATTTTGAAATTTTGTATGTGTATAGAATGGAAATATAGCTTCATATTTGTAGTTGGCAACTTTTTTCTAGCTCTTCTAGCTTTTGAGATATGCGCCTTTAAAGTGGGAACCTCCCCCCTCTCTCGGGCGCCGCCTGCCGCGCCACGATAGTAAACTTTAAAGGCACATATCTCGAAAACTACGGTAGCTCGAAAAAAGTTGCTAACTACAAAAATAAAGCTTTAATCTTGTTTTATATATCGTGAAATTTTCAAAAGAATCCAACAATTTTGAAAACCATTTTCAGGGCGCCAAAGGCGCGACCCCCCTTTTTAGTGTCAGGGGCAGCTGGTGTAATTGAGTTTAAATACACACATAAAAATGGAATGATGGACAAACCATGGTCATTTTTCTGGGTTTGCTCTCATTTTTGTCTCTTTTTAGCAAATTTCAGAACACACGCAATGTTTCCGGAACATTCTGAAAAGGGGGCGTGGCCTAAATTTCACTGAATGACTAATCATATCTTTGGTCAGCAAAAATGTTGTCTATTTTCCAAAATTTTCGGAAAAAAGGCAGAAAATTTGTGTTTGTGTGTATGTGTATGTTATCTGAAAAGTCAATAAGGCCAAACTCTTCTTTTCTTTTCTTCTTTTCCACATTTTCCTTCTTTCCGTTGTTGTTTGAAATTCTAGAAAATTTAGAATTCCTCTAACTTTTTTGAAATTCAACATTTTTTAAAAATTCGAAAAGGAATAGATAGAGCGCTTAAGGAGCTACAAAATAATATAGAACTTGAATAGGCAGAAATTGTTCTAATTGTCAGTAGAGCGAGTTTAAGGCAGGTATCATTTGTAGCTGTTATCTGAACGGGAAAAGAACCATACTTTTTTTTTTTGAAATTTAATATTTTTGAAATTTTCAAAAGGGAGCTTATAGAGCGTTGAAAGAGCTACAAAATGAAATAAAGTATCATTATATTATGATTTGCTAGATTACCAATAGAGCGCGTTTGAGACAGGAATCCAGTTGATGCCCCCCATTGGTTAGTTTTGATACCATTTGTCTTACTGTCTTAGAATTTCTAAGTTAGTTGTGTTTCATATCATTTTGTAGCTCTTTTCAAGCTCTATAACATCTATTCCGGTTTTTCTCAAAATCTCGAATTTCAAAAAAGTTGGGTCCATTTGAAGTTTTTGTGAAAAAAAATTTTTGGGAGTTTTATGAGTCATATAAAAGCAGGGGGTTCTCATGACATTTTTTTTTGCAATGAACTTTTAATTGCTTTTGCAGAGAATTATAAAAAAATTCTTCTTTTCCCTTTTCTATGACCCCAATCATAAGTTTTTCAAAAAAATGTTTTTCAAAAAAACTTTTTTTTCAATTAAAAATATTATTTTTCCAGACCGTATCTTTCTTTTTTCTTCTTTTTTTCCACTCTATTATTTATGTGAATCTTGGCAACAATACAAAAAACAGAAAAAAGTAACAAGAAAACTTTTTTTTCTTTTTTTTCCTTCAGCTGACTTTTTGATTCCCACTGGGACCTTTCTTGCTTGTTTTACTATGTTTTTTTAGACTCTTTCAAGCTTTTATTCGCCTAAATCGACGGAAAAGTGTGTTTTGTCAATAGAGCGAGGTTACAAGTTCCGGAAATTTGAAATTTCGTTTTTTCTGCACCTCAAAGCCCTAAATGTTATGTTCAAAATAGCTAGAATATTTCGTATTGCTCTCTATCAACCGAAATTTTCGAAAAAAAATCCAATCTTCCCGCTGAAAATTGCCTGAAATTGGGAAAATTCCCCTAAAAATAGAATTTTTAAGCGAGACACTGTACGAAGCGCAGAGACGCAAACATTGGCACGGTGCCAAACTGCAACGACGCTCCGCTCTCCCGTTGGCGCCAACCCCAATTTTTTGAATTTTAAACGAATTTTCAGCCATTTTTCAGCAATTTTCGGGCTAAAAATTGAATTTTCAGACGAAATGGTTACTACTAAAGGTGATCTAGTGGTTTTGACATCTCTCAAACAGCACGCCGACCATAATATCGTCAAGATTCATCGGTAAAATTGGAAAAAAAAAGATTTTTGAACCTGAAAAAAAATACTTTTTCAGCGAAGAAACCGCAAAATCGGACAAAGTTTTGCTGATTGGAGGTGGACAGCACGCCGGGCTCATCGTTAATCGATTCGATGAAAAAGTTGCATATGGTAATTTTTGAATTTTTGAGAGAATAAAATTTTAAAAAATCAATAATTCCGTCCAGATTCAGATTCCGAATCCGCCGCCGACGTCTCCTTGTCGTTCAGTGTCCATCTGACTGACAAGGATCAGAAGCAGGTTCAGGAGAAGCGATCTCTATACTTTAAGCTTCGAAAAAACGTGGATTTGGATGTGGGGCGCTCTGTGGTCCATAAATTCTTCAGAAATCTGCTGAGCAATCTTTCAGGAGGCAAGGACACTTAAATTTTACGAGAATACCCCGGAAAAACCAAGAAAAATGTGCCAAAAATCGCTGAAAACCGCCTAAATTGGGGTCAAGGGTAATTAAGCCTAATTAACCCGAATTATGCCTGAAAACCCGGATTTAAGAGCTAAAAAATCGTTTTCAGCACGTTTTTCATGTCTAAAACCATCTGGAATCCTTCATAATCCCCCGAAAAATTGATTTTTGAAAAATTTGAAACTTCGAAAAAAAATTTTTTTTTCCAAAATTTCCAATTTTCAGACTATGCATCGTTCATGAAGCGTGCGATGATCCTTTTGCACAAAGAGTACGCCGAAATCGCCGAAGTGATAATCGATTACAAGATTGTCGACGAGGATGAGCAGGTCGCCATTCCCGATGCCACTCAATATGGTAAAAATGCTCAAAAATGGATTTTTTCCTTAAAAATAGCTAGAAAATCGGTTTTCTCGGCGTTTTTTCACCCGGAAAACACACAAAAACGGTCGAAAATAACCAAAAAATGAAGATTTTCGAAAATGGCCGAGTTTTGAGATTTCTAGGCCACCAGAACTCGGTCTGGCGGTATTTTCACTAAAAAAATCGATTTTCTGCCCAATTTTAGTCAAAAATTCCAGAAAAATCGCGAAAAATCGGTCGAAAATGACCAAAAAATGAAGATTTTCGAAAATGGCCGAGTTTTGGACTTCTAGGCCACCAAAACTCGGCCATGGGACGTTTTCTCTCAAAAAATCGATTTTCTCTACATTTTCGACTGAAAATTCAGAGAAAACTGCTAAAAATCTGTCGAAAATGGCCTAAAACCAGAAAATTTCGAAAATGGCCGAGTTTTGGGATTTCTAGGCCACCAAAACTCGGCCATGGTGCATTTTCACTTAAAAATTTGAATTTCCCGCCTATTTTCAAGTTGGTTTCGCTGAAAAACGAAAAAAATCAATCAAAAACGGCCTAGAAACACAAAATTCCGGAAATGGCCGAGTTTTGGAATTCTAGGCCACCAAAACACGGCCATATGTTTAAAATCTATTAAAAAACGAAAACAAATCACAGAATCTCCAGAATTCACTAGGAAAAGTGAGTTTTTAGATGATTTTGCACCCCTTAATTACCCTTAATTACCCCTAATTACCCACTAATTAATTCTCTGTTTTCAGTGCAAAATTATCGATTTTTGACTCATTGTCAGTCGAAAAATCGATATTTTCAGCTCAAAATACCTATGGCCGCCATCTGGTGGCCTAGAAAACTCCAGATTTCGAAAAACTCGGCCAGCTTCAGAAAAGAGCACATTTTTCATCAATTTTCACCGATTTTCTTGCCTAATTAGTCTTAATTACCCTCCTAATTACCCTTGTAAAAATTGATTCCGAAAAATCCGCTATCTGGTGGCCTAGAAAACTCCAGATTTCAAAAAACTCGGCCACCTTCGAAAATAGCTTATTTTAGCTCGTTTTTTCTCAATTTCAACTCAATTTTCACCGAATTTTTTTCAGTAATCACCTTTAATTACCCCTAATTACTCTCCTAACTGCTTTTTCTCCCAAAAAAAACCATTTTTCTTGCAGATTCTGGCTCAGAATTGGAGGAAGTCACCATCGGGCACGTGCAGGAGATTCTGGAGCACGCGTTCCCGAACGGACTGCCGACGTCGACGATTTCAGAATGTTTGAGATGTTCGAACGACGAGACGCTGGAGTTTTTGAACGAGTTACAGACGAATGGAATAGTTCGAATGGTTGGAGACGAGTGGATTCGTGTGGACACCAGAAAAGTGGATGAGAGTGTTGAGGCACATCGGCAGAGTGCCAGTACTAGTGCTGGAGGGTAAGGATTTCACTGAAAACTCCAAAAAATCTGAAAAAAACGGCTAATTTTGAGCTCAAATCAGCTAATTTAGATTCCCGTATTCTCGATTCCTCGAAACTTTTTGATTTCCAGCGATTTTCTCGACGTTAAAAAGATTTGCCATTAAATTTGCGAAATTTTGATACCCATACTGCCCTATATCGATTTTTTAAGATCTTCTGAATTTTTAGAAGACGTCAAAAATCGGAATTCACCGAATATGGGCAATATGGGTATCAAAAGGATAGAAATTGCATGGGAAACAGTTCTAACGATATGAAAATTTCTAAAAATTGAGTTCTGAATCTCAAGAAGACGTCAAATTTTTTTCTGGATTTTGGCGTGTTCTGAATCCTGGAATCTCCGATTTCCGTAAATTTTCATGTCGTCAAAACTGTTTCTCTTTAAATTTCCGTCATTTTGATACCCATATTGACCATATTCACTAGATTCCGATTTTCGACGTCTTCTGAAAATTCAGAAGACCCCAAAAAATCGATATAGGGCAATATGGGTATCGAAATTTCGCAAATTTCATGCCAAATCTTTCTAACGTTGTGAAAATTCCTAAAAATAAAATTCTGAATATCTAGAAGACGTCGAACTTTTTTCTGAATTTTGAAGGCTTCTGAATTCCAGAATTTCTCATATTCGTGAATTATCCCGTCGTCAAACTTGTCTAGAATGTAATTTCCTTCAATTTGATACCCATATTGCCCATATTCGGTGAATTCCGAATTTCGACGTCTTCTGAAAATTGAAGACCCACCAAAAATCGATCCCGGGCAATATGGGTATCGAAATTTCGCAAATTTCATGACGAATTCTTTCTAACGTCATGAAATCTTCTATCATTGGGATTTTCTGAAATTTTGACGTCTTCTGAACATTTCCAGCACCAACGACCAACCGACAGTCGCCATTATTTCTTGTCTTTTCGTGGAGAAACAGGCGGTGGATGCCCTAATCGAAGAATCCTCGACGATTCACAAGTACAAATCGGGTGGAGAATCCAACGTCTACACGCTGGGAAGGTAATTGTTTTTTCAAAAAAATTCAAAATTTCAAATCTCCCTCCTAACCTATATTCCCTTCAGAATCGGTTCCCACCGCGTCGTCGCCACGAAACTCGCGTTGATTGGTGATTCTCGAGAAGCCATCACATCTGCTGGATCGATTACGACACGTCTTCTCGGAAACTTCCAGAACATCGAGCACGTCTTCATTGTAGGCGTCGGAGGCGCTGTGCCACACTTCACAGATGCCACGTTGCATGCCAGACTCGGTGACGTCATCGTTTCGGCGTCGCGACCACATCAATACGTTTATGCTCATGATTTGTTGTTTGATAGGATGACGGAGCAGATAACTGGTAGGATTTTTTGTCATTTATAGCAGTTTTGACGACGTTAGAAAGGTTTGGCATGAAATTTGCAAAATTTTGATACCCATATTGCCCATGTTCGGTGGATTTTGACATTGGACGCCTTCTGAAAATTCAGAAGACGTCAACACTCGAAATCCACTGAATATAGGCAATATGGGTATCAAAATGACGGAAATTTCAAGAGAAACAGTTTAAACGATAGGAAAACCATACAGAATTGCGAAAAATCAAGATTTTGGAATTCAGAAGACGTCAAGATACAGAACTTCATTTTGAATTCTAAATGTTGATTTCCAGCAAAATTCACGACGTTAGAACGATTCAGCATGAGATTTACGAAATTGTGATAGCCATATTGCCCGAAATCGATTTTCCAGTGTCTTCTGAATTTTTAGAAGAGGTCGAATATCGAAAGTCACCGATTACGGGCAATATGGGTATCAAATTGAAGGAAATTTTATGCCAAACCTTCCTAACGACGTGAAAATTCCAGTAAACCATTCAGAAGACGTGAAAATCTGGAAATTTGAATTTTCCAGGATTCGCCATTCGCAACTGGGACGCCGAGGACAAGACCATCGAAAACATTGTGGAAACCGGTGGTCAGGAACTCGTGGACTCATGGAATTCAGCTACAGATGAAGCTATCCAGTCTCTGACGTCTTCTGCTGGAGACGTCGAATGGAAGGCGCCTCCAGAATCGACTGACGTATTAGCAATGGCAGTTTCGAAGGGAAACGTCGTCGTGATGCCACATCCGAACGAGAATCGAAAGGGTGGACCCGAAATTCATCTGGGAACAGTTGGAGCCATGTCGGCCATGAAGAAGTATGAGAAGACGATTGGTGGAGAGGAGGATACCTTGGGACAGGTAACGAATTCTTGAATTTCATAGGAAAATTTAGGTTTGGGGCGGTTGGAGCTTCAAAATGAGCCCAAACGCGGCGAAAATTGATTGGGTTTGAAAATTTCGAGATACAGCGCCAGAAAATGCGCTCTAGTGAGAAAACCAAGCAAAATTTGAAAGCGAAACTAACTTATTCGTAATCAGCAAGCCATGAGCTTTGAAATGAGCCCAAACACGGCTGGAATCCGTTAATTTGGAATTTTTGTCAGTGGAGCGCATTTTCTAACAACGAATTTTTGAAATTTCAAACATATCCTATTCTAGTCGTGTTTGGGCTCATTTTGAAGCTCATAACTAGCGTATTACGAATATACTAGTTCAAATTTCTGATTTTCATCGGTTTTTTCAGTGGAGCGCGTTTTCTGAGGCTACTTTTTTGAATTTTCAAATTCAACTGATTCCAGTCGTGTTTGGGCTCATTTTTGAAGCTCCCAAGCTCACAAGAATCAATATTTGAATCTTTTACAGCAATAAGCTTGTAACGAGCTTCAAAATGAGCCTAAACACCCCCAGAATCTGTTAATTTTGAATTTTGTCAATGGAGCGCAGCTGCTGAGGCCAATTTTTCAAAAATTGTAAACTTAACCGATTCTAGTCGTGTTTGAGCTCATTTCAAAGCCCATAACGAGCTAAATGCAAATATAGTTCCAATTTTCAATTTCGATTGCTAGTCTCAGTAGAGCGCATTTTCATAAGCTGAATTTTGGAATTTTCAATATTAACAGATGCTAGTCGTGTTTGGGTTCATTTTGAAGCTCCCAACCTCCCTAAAATCAATAAATCGATAATTTTCAGATCCGTGAATCGTTTGCCGAGTCATTTGGCATCCGTTGCATGGACGCTGGCTTCGATTCGGTCGTCGGCGCCGTCGTTGGCTCGTGTGTCCGTTCGTGGGCGTTGATTCGTGGAATCTCGGATTATCACTACGGTCAGAGTCGTGCTGGAAAGGTGTGGCAAGCACATGCGGCTGCCCGAGCCGCCGGCATGGCCAGATGCATCATCGAGAAGCTTCCAAAGGCTTAAATTATTGATTTTTCTTAAATTTTTGAATTTTTCGAAAAAAAATTTTTTTTTCAAAATTCTCTTTCCTTACCAATTCCAGCTTTCCTGTCAAAAACCACATGCTTTATGTTAGGCTCCGCCCACTTTTCTCCTAGGCCCCGCCCACCTGATGATTTTTTTCTTTAAAATCAGATACATTCCCCCGCTTTTTTAATGTAAAAGTGACCAAGTGTTTTTTATTGATTAATTGATTAACTGTCTCTCTGTCTGTCTGAAATTTTTTTTTAATGAAAAAAATTTCGAAGAACATTTTTTAGACACTTTTTCAGCGATCCCCTCAGAACCCAATTGATTTCCAGCGATTTTCACGACGTTAGGAAGATTTAGGATGAAATTTGCGAAATTTTGATACCCATATTGCCCCCTGTGGGTTTTTTGAAGTCTTCTGAATTTTCAGAAGACGTCAAAATTTGGAATTCACGGAATATGGGCAATATGGGTGTCAAAATGACGGAAATTTCAAGAGAAACAGTTTTAACAACGTGAAAAGGATCCAGAAATGCAAAAAATCAAAGGTTCCGGGGTTCAGAAGACATCAAAATGCAGAAGCTTATTTTAAATTCTGAATCCTTAGAATCCTATTGATTTCTAGCGAATGTCACGACGTTAGAAAGATTTGGCATGAAATTCGCGAAGATTTGATACCCATATTGCCTTATATATGTTTTTTTGATGTCTTCTGAATTTTCAGAAGACGTCAAAATTTGGAATTGACGGAATATGGGCAATATGGGTATCAAAATGACGGAATTTTCAAGAGAAACAATTTAAACGCCATGAAAAATTGAGATATCTATTCAAAAAACGTCAAATTTGAGGAATCTTCAAGACTCCAAGGTTCCGATCACTTGAAAACAAAGGAAATTGGACCAAAAAAGCAATTTTTTTAAGAAAAATTTTTGAAAAAGGTAGATCAGAAAAGTGGTATATCAATTATTTTTTTTCAAATTTTTTGTTTTTTTTTAATTTTCAAAATTTCATATTATCGCTGTCTGAGAAAAAACAAGGTTAGAGAGTATTTTCTGCAGTCTGAATACGGTAGCAAACTGAAAGCGACAAGTCTAAATAGCACATATTAGGCGGAGACGCAGAGAAAAAGACAACAATAATAAAAATTAAAAAATTTAGATTTAAAAAATCCATAATTCTAAAAAATTGCACATTTCAAATTGTCATTAATTTTGAACAATTTCAGAAATTTCGAAAATTCTGAAAATCAACATTTTCTAGAAAAAAACACTTTTATTACAAAAAAAAACACGCTTTTTACAGCAAAATGAGTAGATCAAAAAAAAAAGAAGGTAGATATCAATTAATTTTGGGTCCAAAAACATATTCACCAGCTCCACACACATTTTGGCCTCTCGCCAGACGCATGTATCCTTGATCTCCCCATCCGCTACCCCAGGAATTTTTGACAATCCAATATAATTGTCCTCCTTCGTTGCCGTAACCAATTAGTGTCATTGCATGATACCCGTTATTCGGATCATTGCATTCTCGCTCCGATGGATGATAGATTCCTTTCGAGTAGCTGTAGAAGGACTTGGGGAGCTTCATGGCTGGAAAAATCAAAAATTAATTAGGAATTGTGTAAATTTTCAGATCTAAAAAAATTCAATTTCCTTCCAAATGACACTAAAATCAGAGCGGTCCCTTTGAAATGAAGATCATTTCATTTTAGTTTGAAATCAAATCTTAGCAACTTTGAGGGTATTTATCTGGTTGAATATCAATGCTTTTCAAACTGATTTTTATATTGAAATGTAGCTTTTGGAATTTCCTATAAGAATATCTAAATTTGATTTAGAGATTCTGATTTTGAAGGGTCCAACGGTTCATGTTACTCTCTCTGGAGGATTTCGGCACTAAAATGTGATATGCCCCTCTTTGAGTGTCTTTATCTAGCAATATTCCTAAGATGTTTATATTGAATGTTCACTGAAAATGTAGCTTTTGAAATTTTCTACAAGAATATCTAATTTTGAATTAGTGATTCAAATTTTAGAAGGTCAAATAGTCCCTATAAATCCTTCTGAAGCAATTCGGCACTAAAATGCGATATCACCTTCTTTGATAGCCTGTATCAAGATATCTCTTAAAGGTTTTTATATTTCTTTTTATACAAAAATACTCCTCTTAAAGTTTTCTGTCAGATCATATATATATTTCATTTTGAGATCCTAATTTTGAAGGGTCCAACGATTCATGTTACTCTCACTGGAGGATTTCGACACTAAAATGCGCTATCACACCGTTTGTGACCTTATATCTAAATAAATTTTGAGGATTTTCGTATTGAATTTTACATCAAAAAGTAGCTTTTGGAATGTCCTACAAGAATATATAATATTCATTTTAAGATTCCAATTTTAAAGGGTCCCATGGTCCCTATAACTCCGCGTGGAGGATTTCGGCACTTAAATGAGATATCACCTTTTTTGATAGCCTGTATCTAGATATTTCTTGAAGATTTTTATATTTCTTTTTATACAAAAATACTCCTCTTAAAGTTTTCTGCCAGAATATATAAATTCCATTTCAGGATTCTGATTTTGAAGGCGTCAACGATCCCTAAAACTTCATATGTGTCCACTCCCACTAAAATACGGTATCCAATTCTTTGATCGTCCGTATCTAGTGACAACTTGCAGATTTTTATATTGATTTTTATATCAAAATACTCCTCATGAAATTTGCTTCAAGAATATATAACTTTCAAATTAAGAATCTTAATTCAAAGGTACCAACAGGACAGTCAAATTATGTCAAGTCAATATAGGGCAATAACCCTCATAAAATCAGCATAGTTATTCTCATAAGTAAAAAAAACTCACCAAAGCTAACAGGACCCACAGAATCAACCCAGTCGGCAATGAAATCCTCATTATTCGCCAATCGATATCCTTCATCCACCCAAACTCGTGTCTTTCTTCCATTCAAATAACACTGATCGTGCCGAACTGCATCGTATGGATAGTCGTCTTCCGTTTCAAGACCATTCCCGAGAATCCAGCTGAAACTTGTTGATTTGAAATTTGATTTCGTTTCGAATGATACTAAAATCAAAATTCTATCTTAAAATTGAAGAAAGTTAGAGTCATTTTTCCAATAGACTACTCATTTATGGCGCCAAAAAGCTTTGATGACCTAGATTTTTGTGAGAGGCAATATTTTCTAAATTGATTCTTATACCAAAACGTAGCTCTTCAAATTTCCTACAAGAATATATAATATTCATTTTAAGATTCCAATTTTAAAGGGTCCCATGGTCCCTATAACTCCGCGTGGAGTATTTTGACACACAAATGAGATATCACACTCTTTATTGGCTTGTATCTAGTTGAGTCTTATATATTTTTGTTCAGAGTTTTATACCAAAGTGCTCCTTATGAAATTTCCTACAAGACTATATACGTTTTATATTGAGATTCGAATTTTGAAGTGTCCAATGGTCCCTTTAACTCATTCTGACGAATTTTTGCGATAAAATGAGGTATTACCCTCTGTGAAAGCATGTTTCTAGCTTAATATCTACGCTTTCTGTATTGATTTTTATAGTAAAATGTAGCTCTTAAAATTTCCTGCAAGAAAATCAAAACTAGCAACCTCAATGCCTTATCCATGAACCCTCCATTACATCCATAACTATCTCGATCACAATCCACGAGTTCCTGTTCACTTAATGACCATAATGTTCCTTTTTTAATTGCAAATTGAGATTCAACAGCCGAAACAATCGAAAATGCCCAGCAAGATCCACATTGCCCTTGATTCTTGACACTCATCACTTTCCCATCGTTTCTCCAATCTCGATAACCGCTTCTGTTCAAACTTCCCGCCAAAATTGTTGAATTTGCGAATTTTAAATTTGAAAGGTTTTTCACGAATTTCTGATCCATTGAATATCTTCTTAGCTCTTCTTCAGATCGATCCGTAAACTCATTGATTTCAAATTTGGCGCCAGAGTTTTGAGAATTCAATATTTCGATTTCCTTCAAATTTTTTGAGAATAATTGGAATCGAAAATTCAAATCATCTGAATTCTCATGGATTCTTTGAAATTTTTGGTTGAATTCCTTGAATTTTCGAAGAGAATCCGTTAATTGAAGATTTTCGGAACGTTTTTGAAAAATTAATGCGGTAATTAGGGCAATTATCAGAAGGGTAATTAGGGAGTAGAGGATTTCGAGCCATGGAATTTTTGAGCAAGTCGTTTTGGGGGATCTGAAAAATTTTTTAATATTTCTTTTAAAATTATAATTCCAGGAAGCTCAGAATTTTCAAAAAATCCAAGAAATTCGAAGTTTCTAGAAATGGGAAATCTTAAAATTTTGAAATTCCAGAAATTTTTGAAAAACCATAAATTCGAAAAATCTTTTGAAAAATGGAAAGATAATCCGAATAATACCAGATGTCCCAGAAATTCAGAAAGTTTAGAAATCTCGAAAATCAAGATTTTTACTAGAATTCGAAATTCTAGAAAATCCGAAAAAAATTAGAAAAATCTAAATTGGAAAAACCTAAAATTTGAGGAAAAAAGTTCCTAGAATTCCTCAAATTTCAAGGAATTCCGAATTTTTGAAAAATTTTAAAATTTCAGAATTCACGGATTCTAATATTCCGGAAATTCTAGAAATTTCTGTAAGCCCTAAATTTCAGAATTTCAGATTTTTTTTTAATTACCAAATAATTTAGAAAACCATAAATTCAAACAATCCGGAAATTCAGAAATTCCAGTAATTCAGAAATTCCAGTAATTCAGAAATTCCAGTAATTCAGAAATTCCAAAAATACAAAAATTCAGAAATTTAGAAATTCAGAAATTCAGAAATTCCAAAAATACAAAAATTCAGAAAGTCAGAAATTCAGAAATTCAGAAATTCCAAAAATACAAAAATTCAGAAATTCAGAAATTCCAAAAATACAAAAATTCAGAAATTCAGAAATTCCAAAAATACAAAAATTCAGAAATTTAGAAATTCAGAAATTCAGAAATTCAGAAATTCCAAAAATACAAAAATTCAGAAATTCAGAAAGTCAGAAATTCAGAAATTCAGAAATTCCAAAAATACAAAAATTCAGAAATTCAGAAATTCAGAAATTCAGAAATTCCAAAAATACAAAAATTCAGAAATTCAGAAATTCAGAAATTCAGAAATTCCAAAAATACAAAAAAAAATCCTGGAAACACAAAACTTAAGAATTCAAAAGTTTCAAAGAAAATCAGAAGTTCTAAAACTCTAAAAATTCTAAATTTGGGAATTCTAGGGATATTAAAAAATAGGAAGAAATTCAAAAATTCTTGGGAATCCAAGAATCCAAAAATTTAGAATTTCAGAAAAACCGAAATTTGAACAAGTTCACAATTTCCAAGAATCCAAAAATTTAGAATTTCAGAAAAACCGAAATTTGAACAAGTTCACAATTTCCAAGAAACCCAAAATTTTGAATTTTGGAATTTTAAAGATTCATGAATTAAAAAAAAATCAAAATTTCAATAAATGCTCACCTCTCTTCAAATTGAAAATCCAAGTCGAGTGTCATCTCCTCCACAGATCCTCCTCTCGACATAAAAACCATTTCTTTTGGCTTTTTCAAATCATTTTTCGAGAAAAAATATTCTTGAAAAAATTGCGAACTGTTGACCATTTTTTTTGGAATTTTTCAGTAAGAAAAAACTGATTTTTCCATATCAAATACTTGCTTTTTAAGTATCTGTTATCATTGCTCATCCCTAATTCTTCCTTTCCTCATTTTTTGTCATTTTTTGTCATTTTTTCTCTAAATCTCTTATTTGATCAATCTTTTTTTGGTGAATGAGTCATCGGAGAGATAGGAGAGAGAGAGAGAGAAAACAAGAAAATCAAATAAATGTGGGGGGAAATATTAGGAAGATATTTCATTATTGCTAATAGGCATTTTTTGGACAAGAGATTCTGGATTTTCAAAATTTTCAGTGTTTCTGAATTTTTGAATATTTGGAAGCGTTCAGAAAATTTGAAATTCTCAAATTCAGAATTTTTCTGAATTGATCTACTCTTTTTTTGATCTACTCATTTTGCTCTAAAAATCGTTTTTTTTTTCGGAAAAAAAGTCGTTTTCTCAAAAATCAAAATTGATTTTTTTTTTAATACGATTTTCCAAGGAAAGTAATCATAAATACGACAGGATGTTTTCTTCCAAGCATCGACGGCTGGTTCCTTGGTGGTATGGGGAGCCAACAAAACTAGGATCCAGAAGGATTCAGCCCTGCCACCCATCAACAAGGCACTTGGAGGTCCACCGAGGAGAGTACGGTGGATCTGCTGAAGGTTCGTGACATCAAAAAATTAAAGGACACCGTATTTACCGTAAAACCTCTAATAGAACGACACCCGGATCGTTCACTTTGAGCCTATATATCTCACTTCTTT